TAATAGAGAATATGTGTATTTGATTGATAAGGCAGGTTTTTCAAAAATGTGCCGAATTTCATTCCTACCATGTATTCTCAACACTTGATATTGTTAGACTTTAATTTTTGCCAATCAAATGGGTATAAAAATATCTTACAGAGTTTGACTTCCATTTCCCTAATCATTGATGATACAGTGCACATTTTTTCATATCATCCTGGCCAGATGTGTGCTCTTCTGTAAAGTCTGTGGCCCATTTTTTTCCTGAGTGATTGTGCTTTTCTTGATGGTTTGGAAGAGCTCTTTATTCTAAACCTCTTGGTCTTGTGTTGCAGTTTGTGATTAGGCTTTTCACGTTTTTGAGATTGTCATTCGATGAATATTATTTCTCCCATGGCATTCAATTTTTTAATGAAGGAAAATGGACCTTTTTAAAAGTAATTAGGATCTGGGCTGAAGTTCTACTACTTCGTTTTCTCATCAGTGCCCTGGGGTGCTGAGGGCTAGGATGGGGAGCACCTCGAGTCTCCATCATTCTCAGCCTCTGGCTGCCCGTGTGGGTGGAGTGTGCTCTGCACAGCGAGATGAGAATAGGCTGTTCGTTTAGATGAGAGTTTTATTATTCTCTGTATTAAATCATTTAAAGAGAATTACACTTGTGAACGAGTGAACTCCATTTTACGAGTAATTTTCAAGCAAAGGTTGGGTGAATAATGAAGAGGTTCCTAAATTGAGAGTAAATGAAATGACTTCCAGGACTTCTTCCAACCGAGCATTCTTTGCCTCCGTAATACTACTCAGATGACCACACTAGGAGTCTCCTTTATTCATTTACCATTCATTCATCCAGCCACCCAGTCAACTGACTGAGCAGCTAGTGTTAATTCAGCACCGACAAGGATGCCTGGCACTGGTGAGTGCTGCCTGACCTACAAAAACAAGACAGTTCAAGCCTCAGAGAAGAGCTTTAAGGGATTGTCAGACTCTCATAGAACAAACATAATTTTGGTTGATTCACATTTAAAAATACACCTTTTTCATTAATGAAGAAGGAAGGAGATGCTATGAGACAGTTAGCCACCATGTGACAAAATCTCTAAAAGATCCAGATGAAATGACGTCACTTAAATTTGTTTTCACGTTGAACTCTTCTCACAATGAATAGTTATTTTAAAACAGGTCTTTAGTTCTTCTCTCCTTCCAGAATAATAAAATAGCAGACTGCTTCCTGTAGCAATGGCAGTGTTCTCTCAGTTGGAGCTAGAGGTCACTGCCAACCTTCTTCAATACTTGAGCAAAACCTCATGGGTCCAGGCCAAGAATGGCTACAGTGCTAGACATGATCAGCAGGCTGCCTTGAAGAGGGGCATGGAGTTGGGTGGAGACGGGGCTGCTTCCCGGGAGCAAATTGGGCAGAGACCCTAGAGATGATTTCCTTTCCCTCGCTCACTCAGCTAAATTCATTCATGACCTAAGTTACAATACCTGGTCTTCCTCATTGTAGCCCAGATCGAATGTGTGCTTTTCCCATGATGTTGGATTCAGAATTATGTTATTGTTAGACTGTATACAACCGTTTACTGCTCCCCCATGTCAGTGGGCATCTCCAATGCCTTTTTTTTTTTATATATATATATTTGGTTAACCCGTATGTGTGTTATGGTGGAGTTGCTTATCTTCCCTTTGGAGAGAATGTTTGACCTCTCACCCTGGAGAGTATCTCTGTCCTTCAGGAGGGCTTTGGGGGTGGGGACAGCACTCTATTGGATTTTCCATTCACGGCTCTTCTGGAGACGAGGGAGATAATTGCATTTGCAGTGGCGGTCCCGGGACTGTCCTTTGTCCCTTTTGTTCTCCTATTTAGAAATTAAATTTCCTCCAATTATGTCCATTTTCGGTGTTGATTTGCTGCCAAGCAGCAGCACTTTCTTGTGATGTGTACGTTTGCTAAGACCCAGTTCCAGTCTCTGTCCTCAGGCCTTCCCAAATCCTAAAAGGCACACTGCAGTTTCTCAGGTTACATCCCGGGGGTCCCTTCCTGTTGGCAGTTCTTTTTGAAGCGTAAGCCTGCGTTTGAGGTGTATTGTTCTGGGCTATCATTTCGCCCCTTCTTCCTGTCGCTGTGTGCGGGGTGCGTAGCACACACACTCCACACACCAACCCACACATTCCTGGTCTTCCTGTTCAGCTCTATTTTGGTCCTTGGCAATTTTTACTTCCTGCCTTTAAACCCAAGCTAGAAGTTTAAATCCTAACCTGAAGAACTCTGGGAACTTCTACGCATCATACACCCTCATCTATTGAAAGCTTTTTTTTTTTCCAGGAAAGAGTTGAGGCAAGTAATAGAAATTATTGATTTAATTATTTCACTCCTCTCTTGCTTTTAGCCCCTACTACCCTAGAATTTTTTTTAAAAACAAAATTTTGAAGTTAATTTGAATCATGAAAGTAATCTAAAATACAGCCCTGCCTGGGTAAACTAAGTTAGGAATTGCTAAAATAGCATAGTTGCTGTCTCATATACATTTAACAGCATGTGAGCTTTTCCACTTACATTTATAGATCTGATGTTATACTTGGGAAGTATTCAAAATATATTCTTTAATGGCAGCTCTGTTACTTAATACTTAGAGTTTCTGGTGGCTGTTAAAAGTGAAACGCAGTGGCATAACCCTTAAACCACTTTGCAGTCTGCCTTGCTCGTGTTTACTAAGTTGCATTCACTGTAAGCCCCTCTCTTATTTCCACGTATATTGGTGCCACTAACATTTGCCAAAGAGACTCAATCTACAATTTAATGATGAGATATAATCCTGCAATACTAACTTCCATATATTTCTTCATAAATCTTTGGGCTATAGCTACTTCATTGGTTTTCCTATGTTACCATTCAGGGAATAGTATGAGTTACCTAACTCCAGCCTTTAGAAAAAAAGAATCGACTGTAATACTCATTATGTTAGTTTTCAACATTGTAAAGAAAAAGGTATCTTAAGTGTTATCTCTAGAAAGTAATTTACTCATGAAGCGTTCTGTAATACATGGGCAAGCCCATTATTCCCCCGGTTAGCGAGGGCTCTGAGGGAGGATAACGTGTTTTTATCTCATGGCAGTTCCAGCGCGGATGTACATTTCTAGTGGTGCTGCTGGTCTTCTCCCTACTCGGGGAGTTTTTGGGGGGCGGGGGGTGGATTTCTCAGCAAGGAATAGAAGAGTGACTTTTTCATTGGGTGGACTGTTTCTCCCTTTCTGCTTCTCAGTTCTGCTAGACTCCATGTCCTCCGAGTACTGAACTGTTCCACAGAGGAAGGGACTCGGGGTTCTGTTGGTCTACAGTGACTCTATAGCTGGCCTTCTGTTATAGGAAGAGGTCTACAAAGTCCTCAAAAGCCATATGGAAGTGCTAGTATGTGTTTAAAAATAGCATATCCTGAATTCTCTTGAGCTTTGGATGTCCTGCAAATGGTTAGATTTGGTTGACCACACTTGCCATTCATTGTTCTCTACATCTTTCTTTTTTTTTTTAATATTTTTTATTGATTTTTTACAGAGAGGAAGGGAGAGACATAGAGAGACAGAAACATCAATGAGAGAGAAACATTGATCAGCTGCCTCCTGCACGCCCCCCACTGGGGATGTACCCGCAACTAAGGTACATGCCCTTGACCGGAATCGAACCCGGGACCCTTGAGTCCACAGGCCGACGCTCTATCCACTGAGCCAAACCGGTTCTGGCTACATCTTTCTTTGGCCCAATTTTCCATGACCTCTTCCCTGGTCCAACGTGAACAGAGAGACACATGGAAAAACAACACCACCACCAAAAAAGCCCGGCCACATTAAAAGGGAGCATCCTTCTCAGGGCATTCATTCCAGCTTAAGTTATAATTTCTGGCGTGGCCCTCTAGCCTGCTGATGTGTTTAAAGGTGGGAAGAGTGTTTGTGAGCCACTCACTCACTTATCTTTGATACCTGAGTCTCCAAACCACTTTAGGTCCTAAGCCTCCCTGAGGCCACCGATACAGAATTGTCTGAAGTTGCTTTCTTCTCCCACAGCACTTGACAGGGAAGGAGGTGTTTGCTCTGCAGACAGTAGGTACTCAAAAGTACTTTCGCGGGTTCCCTCCCCCACACCTTGCTAAACTGGGCTAGTTTGGTACGAACCTAGGGTGCTCAATAAACGAATTTGTTTGTATTTTTCTCTGTATTTGTCTTTTCAGATCTCCTGTTCCCTATTGATATTTCCTTGGTCAAGAGAGAGCATGACTTTTTGGACAGAGATGCCATTGAGGCTCTATGCAGGTAAATGGAAATGCTTTGAGCATTTTTTTTTTTTTAAGAATAGTGTGCTTATCAATACAAGATGGTTTTGTTTGCTTTTGTTCTAACTGATTAGGTCAGGTCTTTGATTAGCAAATGGGTATAGTGATTTGCTTCATTATAAATCATAGGCCTTTTAATTAAAATAAGTCAAATTCTATTATTTAGTATTGCCATTTAAATAGCACTGCCCTAGGAGGTACTCACATAGTCCTGTTCCATATTCGACACCATATGATTGCTCAAACAGTAACTTCAGATGGTTCAGAAAGTTGAGGATTTTTAAAAAGGCAATGTGATTGACTGCACCGCCCAACCGGGTACCCCAACCAGGTCAGAGCTGCTGTTGTACTAGATGGAAAAAACACATTCAGAGGAGTAAATGGGGAGGGGGGAGTCTCCATACTAGAGGCAGGAGGACCACTGCTTGAATTCCAGAAAAGCCTCCCCTAACCAGTTCCACTTTTCCAGGTACAAACTAGTAACAATAGGATTAAATACGGCTGGAAAATAACCCAGCCTTGAACCCACGTGGACAGGCAGCAGATGAGCACTGATGTGAAATGTGACTAAGAGTCAGGCATCCTTGTTCGTTGTGTTGTGCTGGTGGGTCTTCGGGCTGGGTGGTATCGAAGCGCAAGTAATAAAACATACAGCAGACAATGACGGACACCGATGAGCCTTCCACACTTGGTGACATTTCATTCAATTTAAGTAATTCCTGCTTTGTCATTTTCCTCAAAACCTATCAGCCATAAAGGCTGGATTCTGGGGGGAAAATGATACCTAAACAAAATTCACATGCTGACTTGACTGTAAAATTAAAATAAATGTTCTTTCAATGTCAGTACTTGTTTTAACTTGGAAAAACATTAAGATAGAATGGCATCCAATATTTATTTCCACTTTGTTGGCAAAGAAAGCAGTGGTATTTCTGAGAAAGTATTATTTTTTCCTTTCTTAGGTGATAGAATGTTTTCCAAAGCAGCTAACTTAAGCAGTGGTTTTAAGAGAAAGATAGGGAAGATGTTTAGAATGGTAGATGGAATAGACTAGTTCTCATGGTTTAAGAAAGAAAGAAAAAAAATAAAAGCCCTGTTAACCACAGAGACACTGTCACTTTTCAAACCCAATCAAATGACTGCTCTGAAAGAACCCGAGGTCCAAGCCCCGCACTGAATGTGCAACGTTAGAGCTGTGTGCTCTGGAATGAAGAACCCGGGCAGGTGAGGAGGGAGGGAGGGAGGTAGCATCTGGAATAGAAACTACTGCAGACATTCTTCAGATGTTTTCATGCTTAGCGTGCGGCAGGATTAATTTATTTTCAATTCATCATTGGCGATAACACAGAAATGAGGCCACTCATATGATGTGTCCTAGGAAATATTTACGCATTGCATCACATCATCCATTTCATATGTTTTAAGCCACTTAGTGAGTGGGCCCCTGAACAGCAGCAGCAGCAGCAGTTCAAGAATTCCTGGGCCATAAAAATATCACTGCTGCCTGGCCGGCATAGCTCAGTGGTTGAGCATTGACCTATGAACCAGGAGGTCACGGTTCGATTCCTGGTCAGGGCACATGCCCAGGTTGTGGGCTCCATCACCAGGGTGGGGCATGCAGGAGGCAGCCGATCAGTGAAACTCATCATTGATGTTTCAATTTCTCTCTTCTTCTTCCTCTCTGAAATCAATAAAAATATATTTTATGTATATCACTGCAGCCCTAGCCAGTTTCATCCAGTGGTTAGAGCGACCTACGGACTGAAAGATCCCAGTTTCTATTCTAGTCAAGGGCACATACCTCGGTTTCAGGCTTGATCCCCTCCGTCCCGGTTGGGGTGTGGGAGACAACCAATCAATGTGTCTCTCTCACATTGATGCTTCTCTCTCTGTGTCTCTCCCCACTCCCTTCCACTGACTCCAAAAGTCAATGGGAAAAATATCCTTGGGTGAGGATCAACAACAGCACAATATATCCCTGCAGCCTTACAGCCCAAGGGTCATGATTAGGTTCTTGAATACTTTTTTTTTTTTAATAGCAACGTGAAATTTTGTTTCCCTGCTCTGCGGGGAAGGGCATCCGCTATACTTTATCATTTCCACTGGCCTCCTCACCGTTTGAGAAGCTTCCCCCCTTCAAGGGAAAGATGTGTGCTCCTAGATATTTTGTGAAAAGCCTAAACAACTGGGCCTTGATCTGTGTTTGGACTCTGCAGCGTGTCCTGCCTGGCTTTGGACAGAATAACATCTCCCAGGTTACACGCGGGAAGGGAATGCCGGCCGCACTGGCTGTCAGAGTGCTTTAAATCTGATGCCAGGTGGGAGCACGTGGGGAAAGGCTGGAGCTTGGGTTTTCTTTCCAAAAAAAAAAATCTTCAGAATTCACAGTAACAGCCATCAACTTGTTTGTAATGGAAAACACAAGGGCTGTTGCTCACATGTTCACATAAGTAGACTTTCACGGAAAATGACTCTCCTTCAAGAAGCCTAGACAAACATTTCAGAAGAAAAGGTGGGAGCCACGCAGGGGAGTTTGAGCATCTTCCTGTGAAATGCGCCGCAGGTTCAGAGCTGTCAGCAGAGGAGCTGGAGACACTTGATTTACTGATTGTGTTATTTTCATCTCATCTGCTAGTAGCCTCTTCCATATACTTCTCAGTCCTTGGAACGCAGGGCCAGCAAACACGAATCTGTAGTGCGGTGTGAAATTTTACCTTGTTGAAATCGTTTGAGTAGTTTATTTTATTTTATAATTCTCACCCGAGGACAACATGTTCATTGATTGTTTTTTTTTTTTGTTTTTTTTGTTTTTAGAGAGATGGGGGAAAGCAGTAGAGAGAAACATTGATCAGTTACCTCCCACACACACCCTGACCAGGCTCAGGATTGAACCCTCAACCTAGGTATATGCCCTACCAGGAATCAAACCCACAACCTTTTGGTACATGGGACAATGCTCCCACCAACTGAGCCACACTGGCCAGGGCTTTGAGTAGTTGATTTTAAATGCAGATGTTAATATCTTGCAGAAACTCAGTTAAAGTTTTGCTTTAATAAAATATTAAGCCCTAGCAGGTTTGGCTCAGTGGATAGAGCCTCAGCCTGCAGACTGAAGGGTCTCGGATTCGATTCCAGTCAAGGGTACATGCCCGGATTGTGGGCTCCATCCCCAGAAGGGGGCATGCAGGAGACAGCCAACCAATGATTCTCTCTCATCACTGATGTTTCTATTTCTCTCCCTTTCCCTTCCTCTCTGAAATCAATAAAGATATATTTAAAAAAAAATAGATATTCAGCCCTGGCCAGTTTGGCTCAGTGGATAAGAGCATCGGCCTGTGGACCGAAGGGTCCTGGGTTTGATTCTGGTCAAGGGCATGTACTATAGTTGCAGGCTTCTCCCTGGCCTGGGCCCTGGTCAGGGTGTGCGCAGGAGGCAACCAACCCATGTGTTTCTCTCACACAGATATTTCTCTCGGTCTTTCCCTCTCCCACTCTCTAAAAATCAGTGGAAAAATACCCTTGGGTGAGGATTAAAAATCATATATAATCATATCTAATAAAAGCCTAATATGCAAATCGACCAAACAGCGGAACGACTGGTCGCTATGGCACACACTGCCCGCCAGGGGGGCAGATGCTCAACACAAGAGCTGCCTCCAGGCCCCAGGCTGGCCAAGAAGGGGGTGGGGGGTGGGGGGGGAAGGGGGGCGATCACCTCACAGATTGGCCCTAATTGCCAGCCAGGCCTAGGGACTCTATCCGTGCATGAATTTCGTGCACCGGACCTCTAGTAATAATAAAATTAAATTTTAAAAAAATAGATATTCATACCATCATCTTCAGTCTGCACTTAGTTGGGAAACAGCCCTTGACATGCCTAAGCTACATAAAGCAGCTTGCCGTATAGTAGGTTTGCACTTTGCTACTTTTCTGGTTTATTAAGAGGGTAGCGAGTGATTTTTTCAAGTAATTGCACTAATTCCTTTTAGTAATTGCACTTATCTTTAAGAATTGGAAAACGATCTTTATTTGTCCGGTCTTGGAAAGTTGTTTCTTCTTCTTTCCTCACTCTTCTCTTGTACTTGTCCCTGTTTTCTTTCTGAGTAAGAGGCCCAGAAGCCCGCCTGCTCTGCTTTTATCAGGTGCTTGAAGCTCCCTGAGCAAAGCTCTGGAACCTGTGCTGGCCCACCCGTGCTCCCTCCCCCTCAGAGCAGGGGGCAAGCTGCCCAGCAGATAAGACTGACACATTCCTGTGGAGCTGAGCCCTGTGAGGGCCCCGGGGTGGGAACGACCAGTTTCTGGACAGATGGTGCAATACCATTGTTCGCCCACTCATTTGAGGAATCATACTTAAGATAGTAGCTGCTCCCATATATTATCACAATCAGCATTTATTTTGGAAAGGAATGAAGCCCTAGCCAGTTTGCTCAGTGGATAGAACCACAGCCCACGGACTGAAGGGTCCTGATTCAGTTCTGGTCAAGGGCATGTATCTCAGTCACAGGCTCAATCCTGGGCTCTAATCAGGGCACATGTGGAAGGTAACCAATTGATGTGTCTCTCTCACATTGATGTTCCTCTTTGTCCCTGTCTGTCTCCCTCTCTTCCACTCTCTCTCTCTCTCTAAAAAAAATAAATAAAAAATCAATGGAAAAATATCCTCGGGTAAGGACTAACTACAACAAAAAAGGGATGAAGAAGATACTGGTTTTGCCCGGCAGGTGTGGCTCAGCGGTTGAGCGTCGGCCTATGAATCAAGAGGTCACAGTTCTGTTCTCGGTCAGGGCATATGCCCGGGTTGTGGGCTCTATCTCTCTCTCCCTTCCTCTTTCTCTAAAATCAATAAAAATATATTTTAAAAAGAAGAAGGAGATACCGTTTTGAAGTGCCAGGGCCACCATGTTCTAGTCCTGTGGCCTTGGACAAGATTCGTGACCGAAGCCCCCATTTCCTCATCTATAAAGTGAAGCTCAATAATCATATCTATACCTTAGGGTTGTGGTGAGGACCAAAGTGAGGACAGTACATATGAGGTGCAGGCATAGTGCCCGACTCAGACTGAGCCCACAGCTGGTCTAGCTGGAACTGTTGTCTCTAAGTGGGTAAGGTCCCGCCAGTGGGCATTCTTTGAAGGTCCTAGGGGACAGTGAATCCCCCCAAAACCCAGGGAATAACTTCTGGGCTTCCAAATCGAGAGGCCGTTAGTTCGGCACTACCAACAGAAAAAGATAATATTGACCTTTATAAAACTGGCCTCCTGGGTCTTTTTTGTTTGACTGCGATCTAGAGTCTGTGAAGTCAGCCTCTCTGACACCCCCATAGGCCTCCATGCCCAGTAAACCTGGTTATAAACACCACTCAACCAGTAAAGCCCAAATGAAGTCAAGTGGATATTTGGTTACAGGTGTGATTAATGAAAACCAGGCATACGACTGACTGTAACCAGTCCGGACTCTTTTTAAGTCTTGAAAACATTTGAGAACTAAAACACTTTGGGTACAAGTCCTCTGAGTACTGATGCCCCCCAGAGGGGGACCTTACATGCACTCGTTTGAAAAATCCTAGGACTTCTCCTTAGCTGCTTATTTTCATTCGCTTCCCGTCAACCAAGAGAATTTCCCTGAACATAGGTGCGATGGGTTATCTTTGTTTATTCTCTAAACAGGCTACCACATAACCTGTGAAATCAAAGGCAGTCTTATCAGCAGGCAAAAACACTATCTCTTCTCCTGTGTGTCAAAACTGTTAGACAAGTTGCAAGAGCAGGACTAGAAACGTAAAGCCTGGAAGAGGCCTCATGGTCAGTTGGAATTTGTGTGAGTTAAATGCTGGTATCCTATGAAAACGGAAGAATTGCAGTTGGAGCAAAACGGGAAGACCGATGGTGCAACACTGCAGAAGGTTCATTCGAGGAAGACTAAGTGATGACCGCCTGGAAGATTCTAGAAAGAATTGGGGCCTGATGGGTTTTGCATATCATTTATTCCTGTGTGTGCAAAGGGTTTCTTTCTGCAGCTATTTCATTATTTGCCAGTGAGGGGTTTTTTCTTTAACTATTTCATTCCCAATGAAGCTAAGTTATATCCCTAAGTTTAACATTACTGTTTGGCAGGGGTAAAAAAACTATTCAGCTACAATATGACTCCTGTTTGGAAGCAGGATCTGATCCAAGTGCTTAAAAAAATGAGTAGTTCCATGATTATCACTTTTAGTCGTTACCAAACTTTATAATTGAGAGAGAATCATCATCACTCTCAAGAACATTTTAAGTCTACAAGCAATGGACTCTGTAAGATTCTGATCCTTGAAGCTTTAGTATAGGAATTTTTAAATAATCATTTGCACCACTGCTGTAACTATACCAAACATTATACTACTAGAGGCCCGGTGGACGAAATTCATGCATGGGGGTGGGGGGTTGTCCCTCAGCCTGGCCTGCACCCTCTCCAATCCGGGACCCCTTGGGGGATGTCCAAATGCCGGTTTAGGCCCAATCCGGCAGTCAGACATCCCTCTTGCAATCTGGGACATCTGGCTCCAAACCTCTCACCTGCCTGCCTGCCTGATACCCCTAACTGCTCCCCTGCCTGCCTGATCGCCCCTAACCTCCTCTGCCTCAGCCCCCACCACCATTGCTTTGTCTGGAAGGATGTCCAGATGGATGTCTGGAAGATGTCTGGTCTAATTAGCATATTACCCTTTTATTAGTATAGATACTAAAACAGGAAGTTGTAAAAAGAATAGGGCATTAAAGAGGGCTTGGATTTCCTTTTGGTATAAGAACTCGCTGGATTTTAAACAGGATGCCTAAGATGATGATTGGTTAGAGATGGTTTTATTTTTGTACGTGAATTTTTACTTGAGATACTACATAGCGTTTACCAACAACTCTATTTGGTTTCTTGTTTCTGTGACTGTTCCTATGAAAGGTGACATCACAGGCATTTACTGGGTGGAGCTGCCCCGTGACTCAGGGGAGGAGTCATTGAGAGTTACGATTCAAAGAATCTCATTAAACATGTCAACTGGGAGAAAAAAGAATTTATCCACCCACCAGTGGTGTCCTGTCTTTGCTAACATTATTTCTTTGCTCTGTAGGCGTCTGAATACTTTAAACAAATGTGCGGTGATGAAACTGGAAATCAGTCCTCATCGGAAGAGAGTGAGTATCTAAATTGTATAATAGGACAGGAGGAAGTGGGGGGTGGGGCGGACTGGAAACTCGATTATGTGTTTAGTAATTGGTTTTTGTGTATAAATTCTTACTTCCTCGTTCTCCAAAACATGGACATTTTTAATACTATAAACCAGTCGAGTGTACTGAAGCCTGTAGCATTATGTGATTTAGACCACTAGCTGTAGGCAGCCAGTACATTGTGTTTTTTCCTGCTGTATTTTTAAATTGAGATGTAATTTACGTATAACACTATATTAATTTCAGGCGCACAGTATAATAATTGGGCATTTGTATGTATTACAAAGTGATTCCCCCCAATAAGTCTAGTTAAACATCGATCACCACACACAGTTGCCTTTTTTTTTTTTCTTGTGATGAGAACTTTAAGATCTACTCTCTTAGCAACTTTCAAATCTGCAGTACGATATTGTTCCCTAGAGTCACCGTGCTGTACATTCCATCCTCCGGACTTATTTATTTCTAACTGGAAATTTGTACTTCTTAACCCATTTCACCCAACCCCCCCACCTCTGGCAGCCAAGACTCTTCTTTGTATCTCTATGAGTTTTCCTATTGTTTTTGATCTGAAAAAATCACCTATTTTGCCTCATTAACTCAGTTCCTACTCCATATTAAAGGGATGGGGCTGTAGGCATCTGGAAGATCGCATTGCTCCCTATAGAAATTACAGCTAGCTCCCATATATAACAGTATGTTTCGAAGCTGCGGAGGTTTGCGTGAAGGCTGGGTTGTGGGCTAGTGAAGAATGTTAAGAGTGTTGGAGGGAGGAAAGGAATCGGGGGAGAAGGGAGGGCAGGAAATCCCACACATTCTGGTCAAATGGTGGCGCATAACTGAGTCCCATGGTATTTTCTTCTGGGTCTGAAATGTGAGGCCCTTTTATGAGATCTTAGGAGAAGAAGTGGGCGTAGTACTGGGAGTGAGTGTCACAAATTAGAGTAAACAGGAATAAGTTTGGTCAAAGAACATACTTCTGACTGTTCAGAGCGCGCATTTTAATTACCCTGGAGGCCCTGACCTGCAACAAGTTGCCTTCCTGCGGGAGCTAAACCTTCTCAACAAATGGACTGGAACTTCGGTATCCACTGAGCCATGGAGAAGAGCCAACAAGTCCGCATTTAATGCTCTTGACTCATTGTCTGTGAAACGTGAGTCACGTGGCATAAGATAGGCATCGGAATGAATCATACGTGCCTTTGACATTTCTCCTGAAAGGCTCCGATGCAGCAGCTGGGGTTACAGCACAACCCCGAGTCCCCGTAAGTCCAGCGTAATCAGCAAAGATGCTGCTTAGCGTTTGTGAAGGTTGCAATGGCCAGGCCTGGGTATTTGGGAAGCCTGTTAAATGGCCCGGAGCGGGTCTGAGGTTGAAACTTCACAGGACACTTTTGGCATTAGCTCCAGCCCCGCTGTCTGGCGGGGGAGGGAATGGAAAAGACCAGGTTAAGAGTGAACCGGATCGGACTGAAGCGGAAATGCAATGGCTTCCCTTGCCTGGTGTCTCTGTTAGTCTGTTGGGAGAGCTGTGACCTTGTAGGGTGGCTGGAGACTTCAATCACCACTCTTAGTGTTGAAAACCACCTTTTTGCTTGCAAAAGGGAGTATAAACACACACTATCAACAGACGGCAACACTGAAGGCGGAGCAGAGGGAGTCCCACCGGCTGCTGACTCCAGCTCGAAATATTTCGCATGCCTGGGATTTCCACAGACCTTAGAAGGTTCCTGTGAGCAGTGAAAGAACAGCCGATAGCCCCCAGTTTCCATAAAATGACTTATTTCTCTCTTTTTAAAAATATGTTTTTACTGATTTCAGAGAGGAAGGGAAAGGGAGAGAAATAGAAACATCAGTGATGAGAGAGAATCATTGATCGGCTGCCTCCTGCACGCCCCACACTGGGGATTGAGCCCACAATCCCCGCACGTGCCCTGTCCAGGAATCGAACCATGATCCCCTGGTTCATAGGTCGCCGCTCAACCACTGAGCCACGCCAGCTGGGCAAATGACTTTATTTTGTTTCAAACACTTGGTCCGGCTTTTTTCTGTGACATTCTTTACTTTCATAGTTGTTACTTAAAAAAAAAATAATATAAAGATATCGGGGGCGGGGGGGTGTCAACCCTGATGGTCTGTTATAAGCAGCCTCCCGGACTCCTGGACCTCAGCACATGTCCAGCTCCCTGTGGTTTGCCAGTCCAGGGACCAATGGCTTCTTCATTCTATCTTTTCAGAGTGAGGATTCGGACGAGGATGAGCCTTGTGCCATCAGTGGCAAGTGGACTTTCCAGAGAGACAGCAAGAGGTGGTCCCGGCTGGAAGAGTTTGATGTCTTTTCCCCAAAGCAGGACACGGTCCCGGGGTCCCCAGAGGATCCCCACCTGAAGAGCGCCCCGAGCCACGAGAGCATGCTGACGGACTTGAGCGAGCGCCAGGAGGTGGCTTCCGTCCGCAGCCTCAGCAGCACCAGCAGCCTCCCGGCCCATGTGCCCCACGGCGGGGACGCGGCCACACCCCGGACTAACTCGGCCCTCAGCGTCTGCTCCTCCGCCGGCCACTTGGCCGGCAATAACGACGACTCTTTCTGCAGCCTGCCCTCCCCCAAGGAGCTGTCCAGCTTCAGCTTCAGCATGAAGGGCCACGAGAAGACCGCCAAGTCCAAGACGCGCAGCCTGCTGAAGCGCATGGAGAGCCTGAAGCTCAAGGGCTCCCAGCACGGCAAGCACAAGGCGCCCTCCAAGCTGGGGCTGATCATCAGCGGGCCCGTCCTGCAGGAGGGCATGGACGAGGCCAAGCTCAAGCAGCTCAACTGCGTGGAGATCTCCGCGCTCAACGGCAACCACATCAACGTCCCCCTGGTACGAAAGAGGAGCGTCTCCAACTCCACGCAGACCAGCAGCAGCAGCAGCCAGTCCGAGACCAGCAGCGCCGTCAGCACGCCCAGCCCCGTCACCCGGACCCGGAGCCTCAGCGCCTGCAACAAGCGCGTGGGCATGTACCTGGAGGGCTTCGACCCCTTCAGCCAGTCCACGTTCAACAACGTGGTGGAACAGAACTTCAGGAACCGCGAGAGGTACCCCGAGGACACGGTGTTCTACATCCCCGAGGACCACAAGCCCGGCACTTTCCCCAAGGCCCTCTCCAACGGCAACTTCTCTCCCTCGGGGAACAGCAGCTCCGTGAACTGGAGGACGGGCAGCTTCCACGGCCCCGGCCACATCAGCCTGAGGAGGGAGAACAGCAGCGACAGCCCCAAGGAGCTGAAGAGACGCAACTCCTCCAGTTCCATGAGCAGCCGCCTGAGCATCTACGACAACGTGCCGGGCTCCATCCTCTACTCCAGCTCGGGGGACCTGGCCGACCTGGAGAACGAGGACATCTTCCCCGAGCTGGACGACATCCTCTACCACGTGAATGGGATGCAGAGGATCGTCAACCAGTGGTCGGAGAAGTTCTCGGACGAGGGAGACTCGGACTCGGCCCTGGACTCCGTCTCTCCGTGCCCGTCCTCTCCCAAACAGATACACCTGGATGTGGACCACGACCGGGCCACGCCCAGCGACCTGGACAGCACGGGCAACTCGCTGAATGAGCCCGAGGAGCCCTCTGACATCCCAGAGCGGAGGGATTCTGGGGTTGGAGCCTCCCTGACAAGGTCCAACAGGTAAGAGCTTTGGTTCCCTCTCCCGGCTGGGGACGGGGAGGCAGAGAGGGTCTGCTTCTGCTTGCGGTGTAGGGGAAATAGGGTAATGTAAGCCTGGCATTCGTAGCCTAAGAAAGAGGCAGACCAGGAAATGCCAACATCCCCGAAAGAATGGATATTGTCTAACGGCTGTGGACTTGCAGTTGGGGAAGTCGAAGTGTAGGTTCTGCGGATGGAGGATGGTGATGGTGGTGCAACAATGTGAAGGTATTGAACCTTCCTGAGCCGTACACTTCAAAAGGGTTAAGATGGTAGGTTCTGTGCTGTTTTCAAAGTTGAGTCCTCTCAGTTGCCCGGACTCGAAGCCGGTGAGCAGCCCGCTGCTGATCGGTGTCTGCCTCTGAAAGCGCTGGGACTCCCTGACTCCCTGCTCTTCTCTCGCAGGCACCGGCTGAGGTGGCACAGTTTCCAGAGCTCTCACCGGCCCAGCTTAAACTCGGTGTCACTGCAGATTAACTGCCAGTCTGTGGCCCAGATGAACCTGCTGCAGAAGTACTCGCTCCTGAAGCTGACGGCCCTGCTGGAGAAGTACACGCCTTCCAACAAGCATGGTTTCAGCTGGTAAGAGTTTAAACTGCTCCGGGAACCTCGACTGAAGATGTTTCACTCAGCTCCTGAGACTGTCCGGACACAGTATATGACAGTCCTATCCCTTTAATATCTTCAGCCAACCGTCCTAATGCAGTCACTCTCTGCCTTGTTGCGGCCACACTTGATGCTACGTAAGCTTTAGGGACTTGCCAGCAGGGTTGGTTGGTTGAGTGTTCAGCTCTCCTGGTGACAGATTGCCAGTTGATGGGGTGAGAATACATCTCTCCTCCATCGAATTGTGCAGGCCCCCTCCTTCCCAGAGGTGGGAGTAACCCATCGTAGGTAAATATATGTACAGTATCTGATCACATTTTGGAAAGAAGGAAGGGAAAATGTAGTTTAAAAATATTTTCATTGATTTCAGAGAGGAAGGGGAAAGGAGAAAGATAGAAACATCAATGATGAGAGAGAATCATTGATCAGCTGCCTCTTGCCCACCCCCAAGTGGGAATCGAGCCTGCAACCTGGGCGTGTGCCCTGTCTGGGAATCGAACCGTGACCTCCTGTTCATGGGTCGACGCTTAACCACTGACCCACACAGGCCCAGCGGAAAAATGCAGTTTAGATGTTGCTGTGAGACTGACTTTAAAATGCTTGCTGTATACTGCTTGGCTTTATAACTCTATTGTATGCTTCTAGAAAGCATTTTTGATGTGACTGTTCACAGCATCACTCAAAAATCTGCCTGTGCTAAAGATTTTCTGTCTTTTCCAACAAATACTCTCACATGGTGATTCATAAATCTAAAATATTACAGAGTAAAATATATGTGAAGATAAAATTTATCACCTGAACGATCCATAATTACGTGTGAAAATATTGCCCCTCATGTATATAACAGTTGGGCCGGATGGGACATGGATATGACCTAATACCTACATCTTAATTTTTTTACTCTCCGTGCAAAACAGAGACATGTCCCTAGATTGACATCCCAGCGCATTCCACAGTGTCAGCTGGGTATTCGTAAGTGTTCTCCCTAATCTGCGTGTTTGCTATCCAATTGCACAACTACTGTTTTTGCTGAAAGCCAGCAGCAGCCCGTCTCATTGGGAGGGCTGTTGCGAGGCGGAGTTGCCCGCGAGTCAGCGGAGCAGCGTAACCGGCTCCCCCTCCCAGGACTCGTAGTGAGTTTAACTTCGGCATCAAAGCTCCTCCTGTTCAAAGGCTGTTATTATGGGAGCCTTGCTAAATACAGGAGTTGTTTGTTCTGAATGACAGAAATAAGTATTGACCGGTTTATCCCCACATGCTTCAGATTCTCGGCGGAGAGCGTAATGTGTTCCCTGCACATTCCGCTGCCCGGCTTCGGGCCCCCGACAAAGCCAGTATTATGCACGCTCCTAGCCGTGATACCGTATACTTAACTGTATGGAAATACAAATTTGGCCCTGCGTCTCGGCTTCACCTCCCCTGCGGCTATAAACAGGGCCGTGTTGTGGCTGTTGGTAAGCACCCAGAAGTCGAGGCCGCGCGTCTCCTGCCCTGTTCCTCTGGGCGGAGAGTCATGTTTCCCCGCTGGCTATTTAAAACTGCATATTTCACATTCTCGCTTCTGAGTTGTCCACCCCCTTCCCACCAAACCCTCAAGAATCTGAAAGTCCATAACACTTCTTGGAGTTCTGGTCAGTTTTTCCAGTGAGTCAAGACCAAATGTAAAAGCCTCGCATTGTGGGATCCACGGAGCAGGGAGAAATTCGACACAAAATTCTTTTCCTGTTAGTCCTGGCCCTTTCTTGTCTCATTCACAGAGGTCGTTTGTAGAGCTCAACAGCGTTAAAGGCGTGACACTGGTTTCCTGCTGTTGCAGATACTGCGGGGCGGACCTGCTTTCAGGATTCCAGGGAGCGGGGACTAGGCCACAAAACCCTCCTTGTTCTTTTCCATCTTCCTTAGGCACCTGAAGATGTGATGTCCTCCAGCTCAGCAGCTGGACAGTGGTTTTGACGTCAGGTCATTAGCGTGGCCCCATTGTTGAGCTCTGGAGTTGGTGCCCTTGTGTTTGACCAGCATCGTGTATTTGCTGTTTCTGTCATCCAGCCTTACCTGATCCTTCTTTTTTCTTTCTTTTTATTTTATTTTATTGATTTCAGAGATGAAGAAAGAGGGAGAGAGAGATAGAAACATCGATGATGAGAGAGAATCATTGATCGGCTGCCTCCCGCACGCCCCACACACAGGATCGAGCCACCTGGGCATGTGCCCTGACGGAATCGAACCGAGACCTCCTGGTTCATGGGTCGACGCTCAACCACTGAGCCACACCAGCTGGGCCGACCCTTTTTACCCTAAACACTTTGGTTCTCATCAGGCACTTAGAAATTATTCTTGTCCATTGTCACAACAAAGGGGAACTTGTTTTTCAAACTCTGTCAGGAGGCACCTAAGTAGGGTCTTGCACGGTGTCTTCTGCTTCTGTTTCTTCCTGTGCCACCATTTTCTAAGGGAGCCCGTCAGTTCCCTTAAGGATGTCAGTGCGCCCCTGGCCAGGTAGCTCCGTTGGTTAGAGCATCATCCCAATATACCAAGATTACGGGTTCGATCCCCAGTCAGGGCACATACAAGAATCAGCCAATGAATGCATAAATAAGTAGAACCATAAATCTCTCTCTTCCTCCCTCTCTCTAAAAAAAAAATCAATTAAAAACAATAATATAGACCCGATTCTCAGGGTTCCCAGTGGAAGGAGACTCCCCAGCTGAGGAGGGTGACTGGCCTCACAGCCCCCACTCCTGGGAGACCTCCAACAGCACCTCCAGTGGAAGTGTCTGGGATGGCGGAAATGTTCTAAATTTGCACAGTCCAGTAGGGTCGCTGCTGGCCACAAAGGGCTAGTGAGTGCTTGAAATGTGGCTAGTACAACTGAGGACCTGATTTTCTAATTTTATTTCATTTACGTTTAAATAGCCACCTTCATGGCACCGCTCTAGGGCCCACAGGGTTTACCTGCGGAGATGGACAAGAGTAGGCAGACAAGTAAACATCTCACCTCCCCACCAATGTTCTTTAAATAGGGCTGTGCCCAAGTTCATGAAAAGGATCAAGGTTCCAGACTACAAGGACCGGAATGTGTTTGGCGTCCCTCTGACCGTCAACGTGCAGCGCTCGGGTCAGCCCCTGCCCCAGAGCATTCAGCAGGCCATGCGCTACCTTCGCAACCATTGTTTGGATCAGGTGAGAGCCGCGGCTGCAGGTCTCCCATGACCATGGGAGCTCAGGTGCATGCTCCTCTTTCGAGTTCTGTAGTGAAGATGTTGCTTTCATCTCGACACGTAATGGTTTTCTTCCAACAGGTTGGGCTCTTCAGAAAATCGGGTGTTAAATCCCGGATCCAGGCCCTGCGCCAGATGAATGAAAGTGCCATCGATTGTGTCAACTACGAGGGGCAGTCTGCTTATGACGTGGCTGACATGTTGAAGCAGTATTTTCGAGATCTTCCGGAGCCACTAATGACGAACAAACTCTCGGAAACCTTCCTGCAGATCTACCAATGTAAGTTGTTCTTGGATCTTAACCCTGTTGGAGGTGCGAAGAAATGGAAGCAACTGAAACCTCTAGCTTCCTGTTTTTTAAAAAAGAGAAACCATAAGTCCAGATTTTTTATGCATTCTCTGAGTTTTTAAAAAATATTTTATTGATTTTTTTAGAGGGAGAGGAGAGGGAGATAGAAACATCAATGATGAGAGAGAATCATTGATCAGCTGCCTCCTGCACACACCCTCATAGGGGATCGAGCCTGCAACTTGGGCATGTGCCCTGACCCAGAATCGAACTGGTGGGCTCTTGGTTCCTGGTTTGATGCTCAGCGGCTGAGCTACACCAGCCGGGCACCCCTGGCTTCCTTTGATGTCGTTCTTTTGGACCCACCGGATGGCCTCTTGGAAATACACGTCATCAATTTCTTCCTTGCCTCCTCGTTTGTGGAGAGGGTTTCTGTAGACCTACGGAATGCAAAAAATAAGTTTCCCTTGTCATCATTCTCTCATTGCTGACGCAATTGTCCATTTTTACCTTCTGATCCTGGAGCTCAGTCTTTCATTAGTTTCTAGAACAAGGTTATCTAAGAAGCTTAAAAAGACAGGTACCAAGATCTCTCTCTCCACCTTCCGTATGGAAATTTCAGTTGCTTCCCATCCCTCCAGCAGGACCTGTTGTGTTTAAAATTTCACAGGTGTCTGTGTGTTTTATCTTGATGTTCAATGCATAAATAATCTTTTGCTGTTCTTCTTCTCGGCTTCTGCCAGCAATACTTGGGAAAACAATACCCATGCCCCTCTCACTTTTAAGTAAAGCTTAAAGCAAACAGTTACCTAAATTAATGATGAAGAATCGGGATTATAGCTTTTGCAGCTTTGTGTTTTTCTTGGCTCAGTGTCGTAGCACAGCGATGTAATTTGAAAGCAGCTCCTCTTCGTGTTCCCATCGTCTTCAGCTGGCGCATTGGACTCTATTTTATGAGAAATGGAGCTGGTCTGGATTATTTCATTATTTGTTTCATCCTTTCAGATTTTATGAAAACACAGGTCACATTTTCCCCACCAAGGTATTTGTTATGTATTGTAACCATGGAGCTGTTTAATCAGTGTGTCCTATGGCGCTGCGTTTGAGTGACTTGGTTTTTCCACCACATGCCTTTTTAAAAGGAAGGTTTGCCTGGAAAAGGAGACCTGAAGGTTGGGTCCAGCATTTTCTACATGTGTATTAGTTTATGGGCCTCGTTCTCAAGCGTGTGTTTTTATAACAGCCTCTCAGTAGGCTTTCTAAAGCTGAAAGAAATCGCTGGTCGGATATGTCTGTCGTTTAAATTGACTGAATATTTGAGCAGCTTCCTTTTCCCACTTCAGGAATGAGCAGCTCAGTCAAAAGTGTGCGAGTCCCCGGAGATACCGAACATTTTATAGGAAAGACGAAGAAACCTCAGTTCTTACCCTGGGACACATACCTTAGATATGATGTTTCATGGACGCTGAACGAAAGTATCAGCGCATCTTATTTTCAGAAATTGAGAATGGTAAATTAGGGATTTCTAAGAAGTACTTAGAAAGAAAAAGTGTTCTGTAAACTGAACAAACAGGCCTCGTCGGGAGCTGAACTCGGAGGTGGGCTTAGGAGTCTGTTGGCATTGTGGGTGTTTAAAATATCTCACCTCCTCCACGGGCAGGAAATACCTGAGGGTAGTGACGCTGGAGCAGCCCTAATTTCTTCCATATTAACCTCGAGTACACTCTCGGCAAGTGCTTGTTCAGGGCTGGCTGGGGCCTTTGATGCCGATGTGTTTGCTTTGGGACATTTCCTTGCGATGTACGTGGAAAATCACTGAGCTGATGGGGAAAATGCTGGTGTTGTGCAGATGTGCCCAAGGACCAGCGCCTCCAGGCCATCAAGGCCGCCATTATGCTGCTGCCGGACGAGAACCGGGAGGTGCTGCAGACGCTCCTCTACTTCCTGAGTGACGTCACGGCAGCTGTGAAGGAGAACCAGATGACGCCCACCAACCTGGCCGTGTGCCTGGCGCCTTCGCTCTTCCACCTCAATACCCTGAAGAGAGAGAATTCTTCCCCAAGGTAGGGGCCGCATGCGTCATGCTTTCCTTCGAGGGTTGTTCCCCTGTTCTCCTGGGATTCATACCTAAGTCAAGCAAATAGGAGTTGGATCTTCCCCATTCACAGCCCACGTGACCCTCCTGTCTTCTTAGCCCTGGGCTTGTGACACTCTAGTTATGTTGGGCCTGGGCACTCTAGTTATAGGGGAGAGGGAGTAGGATTCATGCTTCAGCATGGGGGTGTTCACCCAGTGTCCCCCCGAGCCCTCTGTGACATTGTCATCACGTTCTGCCAGCAGAGAGTCACAGATTTACTGACCTAAACATCTGTGTGGGCCAGGGGAGCCCAGCTCCTGGCCTGGGCCGGCAATTGAAAGGAAGTAGGCAGATCTAAGAGAACTGAGCGTAAGGTGGAGCCTGCAAGTTAAGGTCAAGCCCATGACTTGCGGAGTTTCTCCTTCGATGTCTGCAAGGTGGGAGTGGAGTGGCTATAGAAGAAGCCGGAGAATCTAGAAAGTAACAAAGGCTGATGTTTGCTCAGCACTTACTCCGTCCCAGTCACGAGACTGCACCCTTGACATTCATAAAATTCTCACTTGACCCGCAGAACAATCGCAGGAGGTGAGGATGATAACGTTGGTATCCATTTCACATCAGAGGAAAGTGAGGCTGCAGGGAGGGCCAGCTGAGGGAGTAGCTGGCCCGTGCCTGAAATGAAGAAGTGCAGAGCCAGTTGGAGCATCTGACTTCTGAGAATATTTCTCATAAAGGCCTCATGGGGGGGAGGGAGGGAGGACAGTCACTAACTGGCCTTCCCCGGGCCAGATCCATCCCGCTGATCCCATTCCTTCAGCTCTGGGGGACGGCCACAGACATTTCTGAGCTAGAAGCGAGGGCCTTGTGCTCACTGAAGTAGCTTTGCTTCTGCAAGCCAGGCAGTGCTTAAAGATCCTTGAATTACTTCTGGCTGTTGACTAGCGTTCCAGCTTTTTTTTTTTTTAAATCTTTATTGTTGAAAGTATTACATATGTCCCCCTTTTTCCCACCATTGACACCCTCCAGCCCACACCCCGCCCCTCCAGCGTTCCAGCTTTAATGGGATAGAGAACAGAGATGGGCAGCAGAGAGAGATCAGATAAGATTAAAGCAAACCCTTTAGGAAACAATGGATTTCCCCTCACCTTCGGGAGGGGTCCTGTTTATCTCGACTGAGAAGAATAGGGACTTTACCCCAGTGTCCGGCACCTCCCACCCACACCCTTCTTAGCTGCCTCTCTCCCTCCCCAGCACACATCCAGAGACCGGCAAGCTCCCCTATGTAAATAGGAACCTACTTAATGTGCTGGCTTTAAAGAGCCTAGATATCATTGAAAACAGTCTCTTTGATGGGGTGTGTGTGTGTGTGTTGTTGATAAAACTGAAAAATTCTAGTGACCAAAGTAAAGCTCCCTTGGGCGGGGTGGGTGGGAAGAGAGATTAACCAAAGAACTTCTATGCATATATGCATAACCCATGGACACAGATAATAGTGTGGTGAAGGCCTGGGGTAGGGGGTGGGGGGTGAAGAGAAAGGAGGCAGGTGCCAGCCAGAAGGGGTCAGTAGGGAAAAAAGAGAACATCTATAATACTTTGAACAATAAAGATAAATTTTTAAAAATAATAAAGTTCTCTTGAACCCTTTAGTGACAGGTAGGCTCCAGTGAGCTGTTTCTCTCCTTTGGGTTTCCTCAACGTACACATTGATTTAAAAATATGTAAATATTTGACTCTTTCCCCTCCTATTTCTTCTGCCTAGGGTGATGCAAAGAAAACAGAGTTTGGGCAAACCAGATCAGAAAGATTTGAATGAAAACCTCGCTGCCACGCAAGGGCTGGCCCATATGATTGCGGAGTGCAAGAAGCTTTTCCAGGTAAGGATTTGGGGGATCTTGTTGGTTAAGGATAACCTGGGTAGGGACGAAATTGTAGGTGCAATACTTGGTCACATCTCACCAAAAGATCCCTTCCCCAGTTGGAGAGTATATACAGAACCCAACAGTGCCTTACTATCTATATTATAACGTAAGCTAAGTAGAGTTAGTAGGCTTAATGAAATGCCCACCTCCATACCCCCTATAAAAGCAACAAACTACGTGCAGTAAGTACTGTATCTGAGACACGTGCCTTCATCCACGTAAGCCCTGATTCAGTCACTTACCTGCTACGTGACTTCTCAGGTACCTTACACTAGAATAAGGTATCCGTAGCCTCGTGATACCGCGTGAGGTGGGCAGGGACATCCTCCAGCTGTTGGGAACAGGGATTGGACTGCCTGCACCACCTTGAGGACCCAGCCTTATTTCTGCCCTGTCCCTTCACTGCTGGGCAACGAGAGTGTGCACAGGCGGATCAACCTCCTTTTTTAAAAAAAATATATTTTTATTAATTTCAGAGAGGAAGGAAGAGGGGGAGAGAGATATAGGGTGTCCCAAAATTCGTGCAAGATTTGAATTTTGCGTGAGCATTAACAACAACAACAAAAAATAAAAGCCTAATTTCACTTGGTTTATTGAATCAGATTCTAATATCTGTTGCCCTTTGATTTCAATCCCTTCAATTTGATAAGCATTACCAAGTACCAATTATGGCCCAGGAGCAGAGACAATGAAGACCAATGAAGACCACGGCTTTGTGTTTGTGCCAGCAAAGCCGTGGAGGCCATTTACCCGATGTGCTATTCCATACATAACCCTATACTGTATACTTTATGAATCAATAAAAAATTTACAATTTTTAATTATAAACCTGTGTTTTCTATCAAAATTACTTCTTGCGTGAATTTTGGGACACCCTATAGAAACATCAATAATGAGAGAGAATCAACTATTGGCTGCCTTCTACACACCCCCTACTGGGGATCAGGCCCACAACCTGGGCATGTGCCCTTGACCGGAATCGAACCCAGGACCCCTCAGTCCACAGGCCGAGGCTCTATCCACTGAGCCAAACCGGCCAGGGCATCTCCCAACCTCCTTTTGGTCTCGTGTTCCTCACAGGTTCCTGAGGAAATGAGCCGATGTCGCAATTCCTACACCGAGCAAGAGCTGAAGCCTCTCACTCTCGAAGCTTTGGGACGCCTCTGTGCCGATGAGTCCGCTGACTACCAGCACTTCCTGCAGGACTGCGTGGACAGCCTGTTTAAAGAGGTCAAAGAGAAGTTCAAAGGCTGGGTCAGCTGCTCCACGTCTGAGCAGGCCGAGCTGTCCTATAAGAAGGTAGGTCATCCCTCTGTCGTCCACCAGTTGAGTTCCAGGGGTCAGGGCTTGGGTTCCTTAGAGACGAGACCCTGTTACCCACACATCTCTGCGTGGGGATCTGGCACCCATTCCCTCTCCTGCAGAGCTGGGCGGCCAAGGGATTCAGATCCCCAGGTAAGAGCAGAAACCAGCCGGGTGAGGAATACTTGTCAGAGGAATCAAACAGCCAATGCAATCCTGCTTCCACGGAATCACACCAGAGTGCCCTGGAGTGTTTAACTAGTGGTGTTGGGCTTAGGCCTTGTAGAACCGGCTTGGGTTTTTCCATAATTTGATCAGAACCCCCTTGCACACGCCACTCCACTCTTGGCCCTTTAAAGAGCAGAGAGCTCTCAGGGGAGACATTGACTTGTTGGGACTGCACGCCTGTGAGGGCGGGCACATGGTGGGTGGCTTAGCAGGGTAGGCCCACCACAGGTATTTGTTGACACTGTCCTCCATCACCTTGAAAAGAAATAACCAGGAGGGCAGTCCGGATAGCCATGCAGGCTTGGGGTGCAAATAAAGGATCCGACTTGATTCCATTGACCCTGACATGGGTCCCAGGGGAACATGGGACAGTTTGAACCTGAAGTGACACCAGCCGTTTTGTTCACTTCTGGCCTAACCCTCGGGGGTGGCAGCCTGTTAAAGCCATAGGTGATCATTAGCCTCCAAACAGATGACCGTGTATTGGGCTAGCAAGTTGCCTTCCAAGTCTGGGTGTGTGCGAATTGTCTTAGCCCTGAAAGGTGCATCCTCTCTGCAGGTGAGTGAAGGACCCCCTCTGAGGCTTTGGCGGTCGACCATCGAAGTCCCTGCGATGCCCGAGGAAGTCTTGAAGCGCCTCCTTAAAGAGCAGCATCTCTGGGATGTAGACCTGTTGGATTCAAAAGTGATCGAAATCCTGGACAGTCAGACTGAAATTTACCAGTACGTTCAGAACAGTATGGCACCCCATCCTGCTCGGGACTACGTCGTTTTGAGGTGAGAGCTTCTGAATTGATCATTTAGTTTTAATGTTTTTAATTGATTTCAGAGAGAGGAATGGAGAGGAAGAGAGAGATAGAAACATCAATGATGAGGGAGAATCATCGATCGGCTGCCTCCTGCTGAGGATAGAGCCCGCAACCTGGGCGTTGTGCCCTGACCGGGAATTGAACCGTGACCTCCTAGTTCATGGGTCGATGCTCAACCACTGAGCCACACCGGCAGGGCCCAAATTGATGACTGTGGCCAGGATGAGCCTGCAGGTCACTGAATAGTCTAATATGGTAAAATTGCTTCCATTAGAACATATGCCTCCATAAAATGCAAATATGAAAAATATATCTAATTTTATTCCAGTAGTGTGTTCATCCCTGAAATGGCTCAGACTCTTTGGGAATTGAGCTCAAAACGTCCTGGTGGCAGATTCTTCCCCCTTTTAGGATAGATGTTCTCGTTAGAAGTAGCTGACGGATGCATAAGCCAGGAAACAACATTCAGGTTCCCAGGGGGTTACGGTTGAGGCTGGTTTATATCGAATTCATCATTCTCTGGAGACATGATGGAAAGAGGAATTCCAAGAATCTTTGAGGAACTGTCACATCATTAGTCCAGAACTTTTCTGACAGAGCAGCGTTCATTCGGATGCTTACGCTCTCAGACAGCTGTGGAACGTAACAATGGTTTTCGGTCGCACTTCAGATTGGTTCTCTTTGAAAGAGCTGGCTGTGTGAGCAGGTACACCTCCTGGAGATGTGGCTCTGGACAGAGCTCGTTCAGGAGTCCTTGCACACGAGTTCAGGATGCCGTTCACGCAGGGCGGGGTCACACAGCACGGCCACCGAGCTGTCCTTCAGTGTCTCTGAGAGTGTAGTCCCATTTGGCTTCCAGGAAGTTTTATTTTTTCCCTCTGGTTTTGTCTCGACAGGACATGGAGGACGAACTTACCCAAGGGGGCATGTGCCCTTTTACTCACATCCGTGGATCACGACCGGGCCCCCGTGGTGGGGGTGAGGGTCAATGTGCTCCTGTCCCGGTATCTGATCGAACCCTGCGGGTCAGGGAAATCCAAACTCACCTACATGTGCAGAGCTGACTTAAGGTATGTTCTGCCTCTGATTTTTTCGACATGGTGAGGGTCACGGGGAAGACAGACTTTTTGCCTGGTGCAGAGAATGGCTTAAATGAGTACGTGTTGCATCTTGGTTACTCCAGGAAGAGTGGTGCTGAAGTAACACGTTCGTGTTTCTTGGCCTTTGGGTACCACGGCCTACTTTTGATCCTTTAGAAAATGTGGTGCTAACGTAATGTGGATACGGAGGTTCTGCCATGAATGTAAAGCCACAGGAAATGCGAGTTTGAACGAGCAAGCAGGGTTTTCTCATTTTATAGTCAAGGGTGTCTGAATCATGTGACATGCCCTTTTAGTAATTCATTGGGCCTACATATTCTTTGCTATAGATCAATGTGTATTAGTATCAGAAAAGTAGTGCCATGCAGCCTTATGCAAACTCTGTCCACAGTGGCTCTCAGGTTACATAAAGTCTCATTGGAAATCTTTACATCTCAGCACTTCTGCAGGCACCCGTGTGCTCTGTTTTTGTTAACATGCCGCAGCTTTCCCTAAACCAACGGTTCTCAACCTGTGGGTCTCGACCCCTTTGGGGGTCGAACGACCCTTTCACAGGGGTCGCCTAAGACCATCGGAAAACACATATATAATTACATATTGTTTTTGTGATTAATCACTATGCTTTAATTATGTTCAATTTGTAACAATGAAATTGGGGGTCACCACAACATGAGGAACTGTATTAAAGGGTTGCGGCATTAGGAAGGTTGAGAGCCACTGCCCTAAACAGTTTTACTCAATCTGTAGTTTCTTGAGACACTTCGAGTTCCAAGTGTGTGGTGGAGAGGCCAGGAGATTGCCCTGGAACAGTAAGAGCAACCTGTACTTGCACATGTTGCTGAGCAGGGAATGGAAGTATAGTATTTGCAAGTCCCTTTGGCTGGTCTCGGGGCTTTCCAGCTGGAATAATTGGCCTGCTTTTCCTCTGTCCCAGGGGCCACATGCCAGAGTGGTACACGAAATCTTTTGGACATTTGTGTGCAGCCGAAGTCGTAAAAATCCGAGACTCTTTCTGTCACCAGAACACTGAAAGCAAAGACACTAAATCCAGGTGATCACCGAGGCAGAGCCGCCGTGTCCACCTTCCCACCTTCCGGGCGTTCGTTTCCAGAGCCCTTGCCAGTGCTCGGGAGCACGGGTCCTGCGTCTAATCCTGAAACAAAACTGCAAGTTGGAGCATAGGAATCGACTGTAGTGATTTGATACATTTTCAAAGCTGCTTCCCGTTGGTTTAAGGTCTGTGTTACAGATCTTGACTGGAATATATAAGACTGCAAAGAAAAAAAATGTATTCTTATGCGAATTGCTTCTGAGAAGCAACACTATAAATACATTACAGAAGATAATGAAGATACTTCATTCTCTTGTGATATTGGTGTATGTGTCCCTATGTCCTTGTGTTTGCAGCGTGTTGAGGGGCTGGCGTATCCACTGGAATAGTTGGTACTCTACGACAGGTTTTCTCACTGAGAGGAGCAGAGAAAGGTTTGCACAGAGGCGTGTGTGTATGTTTGTTTGTTGCTGGTTGCATGGCACAGATGTGTAGGTTGGGACGCCGCAGTGTCTGGCACACTGAGATGCCTCCAGAAGGATATTGATGCGTCAGGTGCAGTTTAACCTGGAATATCTGACTACCCATGGATCCATCCAGAAATTTAAAAGGGAACTCTTTTATTTTGAGGGGTCAGACAGCCCACCCTTGTCTATTTTTTTTTTCCTGAGTTATATTAAACAGACTCCTCTATCCACTTCTTCTTTACCTGGAAAGTGACTGTAGTGAATTTACTCTGATCTCCCATTTCACACACCGTTTCTCTCTAGACCTGATTGCAAAAGTTGTTTGTAGGTTGTTATTAACAGCATTTTCAAAAGCTGAACAGGTTTATTAATTTAATTTGCCCTTAACAGCAAATAGATTTTCTGGCTTTTTTTTTCCTTTGCTTTTTCTACATTTTCTTTTTTTTTCCCCTTTATAATGATGTCCTTGGAATTTATTTTCATGATAATGGCAAACAGGTATCACAGTAAAAAACAAAACAGCAGCACAGTTTTGGAAGGGTGGTCTTTATACAGGTTTTACTGTAATGGTAAAGGTCGACTTCAGAGACAGTATTAGTGAATTTATTTAGTATGGATCGAAGTGAATAATGTATGAATGAGAGTTGTAAGAAGGATTTTTATTTTGTTATAATGTAGTTACCATTGTCAGTGTTATTTCCAAGGTTCTTTGAAGAATTGGTGGGGACAGATTAGAGTGTTAAAATTTGAGTATTTTGGATATCAGTGTTTTTCATGAAGATATACTTGTATATTCCATTTGAATGGCTTTCAGATTTGTAAGATTGTATGTTGTATATACCATTCTATTAAGACACATGTACACATGTCCACTGTGCTTTCAAACATAGATTAAGCATGATAAAGATTATTATTTAAAATATACTTGTATTTATACCTCAGATATTCTTTTGGGTTTTGTACCTCAAGGCTTTTTTTTTTCCTAATGTAAATACACTTACATGAATACAGTCTAAGAGAAAAAATAAATAAAAGAAGAGGTTTATAATGTGCTCTGTATCTGTACAGAATATAATCGATAAGTGCACTATTAAATGTTTAAGGGAAAAGTCTGGCCTGCTCTCCTCTGCAATGCAGCTTCCTCCCTCCCACCCTGAAAACCACAGACTGCAAGGCACATCGTTCTAGCACCAGCCACAGCGAAAGCATGGAGTTGCTGAAGGAAAAGCCGGACTGCAAATCATTCCAAGGCCAAACCGCAGCTGAGCCACTCGCTAGCCCACAGGGAAGCCTGGAGATGCTCTCTGAAGGCTGTTAGGAAATGATGCTGAGAAAGTTATGGGAAAGCACAACAGCTACGGAAAGATGCTCCTCAGCAAAGCCAAGGTCACTGTTCATCCCACCCAAGGTCTCTCCCACGGTTTGGCTCCCCTGTTGAGAGGATGTCTTCCACGTTTGACAAGAGGAGATCCCAAAGGGTGTGGACATTTGCAAGAACTCTGCTTACGTCGCCTAGAGTGCTATCGCCACAACTGACTAATTGTGACTAATGGCCTAGATTGTAAGGTCTCTGAGGGCAGGGCTCTCCTGCACATCTCTGTACTCCCCTGCAGCAGCTTTCAGTGTTTGTACTTGTAGGCACCTAATAAATGGATTATTTGCTAAATGGGATTGGTTGAACTCGCTTGTTACTTGAAAAGGAAGAGAACCGAGGATGCTACCTGTCTTAAGCCCTCACTTGGGCTCATCACTGCCCATTTTGAGATTAAAGAGAGTGGACATTGTTAAACCATATGGGATCTTAAAAGTTTAAACTAGCAAAGATGCATAGATAACCGAATATAGATGCTACGGAGACTGATTTTTTAAATTTGAGTTTCTTTGAGATGGAATTTTTAGCCTACTGCATTTCCCAGATACAATGTGATACTGATCTTAGAAGAGGTTTGACAAATATTCACTTTGGGCATAGAAAAGAAGACAAACCCAACTTTATTGTAAGTTTTTAATTTTTTTTTTTTTTTTACTGACTTTTTACAGAGAGGAAGGGAATGGGATAGAGAGTTAGAAACATCGATGAGAGAAAGACATCGACCAGCTGCCTCCTGCACACGCCCCACCGGGGATGTACCCGCAACCAAGGTACATGCCCTTGACTGGAATCGAGCCTGGGACCCTTCAGTCCGCAGGCCGACGCTCTATCCACTGAGCCAAACCAGTTAGGGCTATTGTTAAGTTTTTAAAAGACACACCCAGACTGAAGGCTTTTTAAACTGGCCTCTGCTTTCAGACCTGGTTTCCATGGGGCTATGTAAAATCAAAGTATCTTAGGCCTGAAATACCCAATACTTGAGTTGTTTGGACAGTTCTGAAATGGAGTTTCTAACAGGCGTCATGAGGTTACAGGACATGGCGGTAACCTCATGGCACCCAGGTAGATTACATGACTTTGGTGGCACACCCATTTCCTCACACAAAGCAACTAGTCAACACCTACTGTCTGCCTGACACTGCGCTCAGTGCTGAAGATACGGCTGTACGAAAGACTGCATGGCTCTGCCTTCTCAGAGTTAAAATCTGCCCTCACAGGTACTAAAGTAAAAAATACCACCTAATGAACATTAGGACAGGTTTCTATGTGCTGGGAGGGGTAGCTAAGATCTTAACAAAACTCAAGGTAATTGTTGAAGTATCCTGCCTAGCAATCTATAGGTGAAATTACTTGGACAATTCCAAGAAAATGAAACCTCACAAGTACCCCACGAAGCATAGGCCGTCTCTTCAGTCTAAGGAGAGGATATGGCTCAGAGAAGTAGTGACAATTCAGGGACCCAGAGCTGCCCTGGCCGGTGTGTCTCCCTTAGAGCTTTGCCCCTTCCACCAAAAAAGGTGGCGGTGCGGTTCCGGGTCAGGGCACGTACCCAGGTTGTAGGTTTAATTCCTGGTTGGCTCACGTGCAGGAGGCAACCAATCAATGTCAATGTTTCTCTTCCTGTCTCTCAAATGAATAAAGTGAATTTTTAAAAAAATGAGATTCCAGCCCAGGTCTGCTGCCTCAGACCATTTCCTATTTACTGATCTTTTCCTAATTGGGAAACAAATATCTCATAATAAAAGCCAATCCAGCCCCAGCTGGTTCGGCTCAGTGGATAGAGCGTTGGCCTGCGGACCAAACGGTCCCACGTTTGATTCTGGTCAAGGGCACATGTCTGGGTTGCGGGCTCGATCCCTAGTAGGGGGCATGCAAGAGGGCAATCAGTGATCCTCTTCCATCATTTGCTGGGGTCCAGCCCCAGCAGGTCCAGGGGTTCCCATAGGTGTGGACGGAGTCGGCGATGAAGGAATGACACAGGGGCAGTGTTCAGGTGATCATCATGGCGAGGTTCTCTCTTTATTGTCCTTTTACATCTATATTTATACTATTTGATCCCATAAGCATGCCTCTATAATTACATCATGGTATGTTTTGGGTCACGTTCTAAGGTTATGTCCTCCCAGCCTCCCTGCTTGCCTTCCCTGGGACTGCCCTGTGTCAGTGGGTCTCCAGGGGTATAGGCTTTGGTGCTTTCCCTGGTGGGCAGACCCCTGGGGATGCGGGCCCAACAAGTCCCAAATTTATTGCCAACAGTCTTAGTCCAAGTTCTTCATAAGTAGTACATGGTATTCCGAGCTGGGCTAGGGGGATTTACTGATTTATTCTCTTCCTTAGTCCTGTTAACCCCTAACCTGGGAAACAACCTTTCTCAGGGAGGTGGTCCTGGTTAAAACACATAGTGCTTAAGAGGGGGAGCGAACATATGTCATATACGCCAGGTCCCTTGAAACATAAGCTGTGCAGATGTTTCTTCCCTGCAGCGACTGCGTCAAGCAGCAAGGGTGGATCGGCTTCCAGCAAATTCCCCCATTTTTATTTTTTAAATGACAGCGTGTGTAAATCAGCGGCCACCTCTCGGATTGGGTTGTTTAAGATTCGGAAGAAGATTTGTTTGTGATTTTGCTAACAGGTCAGTCCGAGGCTTAACCTATATCCGCTCCCCACATCTCACCCTATATTTTAAGCTACTATAATGAAAGTTTTTAAGCATCAAGAACAAAAAGCTACCATAATGAAAGTAAAACTTAAGCATCAAGAACAAAACTCTGGCTATTAAAACAATAACAAGACAATGCCAATGCAAAACCCAAAACATTTTTAAACTTAAACATAACATTTTTAAAACTAGTAAGAATAATAAAACAATGACAATGCAAAACAGCAATAAGTGAGTTTCTGCTAAATAAAAGTTTCTTTTGCTGATTTACTCAGAGTCCTCGGACTTGGCTGAGAGAGTAGCTTCCACCTCTTGCTTCTCTACCATCTGCTGGGCCTCAGTTGTTAACTTCTTCAGCGGACCCCAAGTCGGGGTTTGGTTGTCCTCGTTGATCTGGCTAGCGGGCGGCGTTGCTGGCGACGGGCTCCCGGAAGTGTCAGCGCGGTGAATGGCTGGATCAAAGGGTCCATCAGGGCTGTGCTTGATGGTGGTGTCCGCGCCTGTGCCCAGCTGCAGGGACGCAGGCGACGAGTGCGAGCGGACAGGCTGGGCGCCGCCGGAAGAGTCGGTGCTGGACTGGCGCGAGTGCGAGCCGGAGTCAGGCTCCTTGAAGAACGATTCGGGCAGGATCTTCTTCCGCCACGAGCTGGGCTTGGGGTTCATGCCCGAGTTGAAGAGGGCTTCGAGGTCCGTGTCTAGGTCCGGCGCGACATGGATCACTTGCTGCCCGGGCGGCAGGAGCGGATGGGGCTCTGAGGCCGGATTCTTCATCTGAGCGCGCAGCGAAGCCAAGTCTGGGCGACGGGGCAGCCGTCGGGCCTGGGTCGCTCGGGGTGCGTCCTGATCTTGCAGGATTAGAGCCGGAGCCCGGCTGGCAAATCCGGACCGGCCTCGGTACCTGGCAGTCGAGGGGCTTCGGCTTTCACGTCCCCCAAACTGGTCTCAGGCCTCCTCGCTCTTTAAAGAGAAGATCCTATAAGCATGCCTCTATAATCACATCATGGTATGTTTTGGGTCACATTCTACAGTTCCTTGTTTCTTATCTGACCTTAGCCAAAAATCCTGTCTCTATCTAGTTCTGTTGATTTTAATCTTGTCTAGGTTCATCTCTGTGTTCCATTACAAGGGCTATTCCAAGGTCACTGCTCTACTGATCGGCTACAAGTAAGTGACTGAAGGAGCTTATCCTACCCAGTAACGGTTATGTCCTCCTAGCCCCCTGCTTGCCTTCCCTGGGACTGCCCTGTGTCAGTGGGTCTCCAGGGGTATAGGCTTTGGTGCTTTCCCTGGTGGGCAGACCCCTGGGGAGGTGGGCCCAACAAGTCCCAAATTTATTGCCAACAGTCTTAGTCCAAGTTCTTCATAAGTAGTACATGGTATTTCTATAACACTAGGGGGATTTACTGACTTATTCTCTTCCTTAGTCCTGTTAACCCCTAACCTGGGGAAACAACCTTTCTCGGGGAGGTGGTCCTGGTTAAAACACATAGCGCTTAAGAGGGGGAGCGAACATATGTCATATACGCCAGGTCTCTTGAAACATAAGCTGTGCAGATGTTTCTTCCCTGCAGCAACTGCGTCAAGCAGCAAGGGTGGACCGGCTTCCAGCAAATATTGATGTTTCTATCTCTCCCTCTCCCTTCCTCTCTGAAATCAATAAAAAAATAATAATAAATAAGATAAAATAAATAAAAGTCAATCCACATGGCGCAGCATCAGAATCAAGAATTCTAGGGCCCTGACCGGTTTGGCTCAGAGGATAGAGCGTCAGCCTGCGGACTCAAGAGTCCCGGGTTCGATTCCAGTCAAGGGGCATGTACCTTGGTTGCGGACACATCCCCAGTAGGGGGTGTGCAGGAGGCAGCTGATCGATGTTTCTCTCTCATCGATGTTTCTAACTCTCTATCCCTCTCCCTTCCTCTCTGTAAAAAATCAATAAAATATATTTAAAAAAAAAAAAGAATTCTAAGGAAGCCCAGCCAGTGTAGCTCAGTGGTTGAGCATCGACCTATGAACCAGGAGGTGAGGGTGCATGCCCAGGCTGCATGCCCAGGGCTCAATCCCCAGCAGGGGTCATGCAGGAAGCAACTGATCAATGACTCATCATTGATGTTTCTATCTCTCCCTCTACCTTCTTCTTTGAAATAAATAAAAATATGTAAAAAGAATTACAGGGAAATGAAGATCCACAGCAAAATAACACATTAGTTAAAAAACCCAAAGTAATTAAATCATTTGTCATCCCATGGCTGAGAGGCTGAAGGAGAAATTAAGGCAAGATAAATATGAGGCCAAAGTTTTGTTTCAGGTCAATGGTTGACAGAACTTAGAGTTCTGTTTGCAAACTGAATATATGGTTTCAAGTCTATGAAGACCCCACTGAGGCCTCCCTGTGGAACAATAGGACACGACTCTCCCCTCTGCAGCACAGAACAATTAGCTGGGATGTGATTGCAGCCAGGCCCACCCAACCTTGCAAGCTCACATTGCACCATGGGATCTGAGGGCCAGGTACGTGCTGAGAAATGTGTCCTTAGCGACTTTGAGGTGCAAATGTCATAGCACCCCTTACACACATTGGATGCTGTAGTCTACTGTGATACTGTTACACGGGCGGTGCAGTAGGTTTGTTTACACCAG